TTTAGACTGTTTTGGGTGGAAACATATGTCATAATTACAAAAATTGGCGGCTTGACTGATATAAGAACGATGCAGATCCGATAATAAATAAAGGAATTATACGTCTTTATGGATCTGCTTCCTCACTTATTTGGTGCAGGAAGAACAGCTCCGGACCTGCATTCTTTTTACACCAAATGATTGCGAATGTTCGGTGATTTTCGTGGAATGCAAGGTCATCTTCTGTTGGCACTGGGTCAATGAGAGAATGCCTTGCCGCAGGGCAGCTGCTTTGTTTTGACTTGTCAGTCGCTATCAGTATCATAGCTCTGATGAAAGTTGTTTCGATAGTGATTTCGCAGGACCTTCAGCGGGAAGGAAGCATCCAAAGAAGAAACGTACATCTGTAAAAATCAACGCATTGAACCTGTTGTCAACATGGAGCCCACGGCAGAGCTCCCAGTTCTTCCTGTAACCAAAAAGAGAAAAAGTGCCGACCTCATTCTCTGGAAAAGAAATACGAAAAAAAAAGATATTGTAGAAACACAAAATCTAACGAAACACTCAAAAATGTAAACATGCACATTCAGAGCTTTCCAATGCGTGAATTGCAATATAGTAGAAACATATTCCGTCGATTATATTTATCTTCAGATCTAAATGTAAAGAAGATATATCAACTCTATTTGAAAATTTACGAACTAGAAAGTGTTAGCAATCCTAAATATAAAAATAAAGTTTTCTATGACTTCTACTATCGATAGTTTAAAGAAAACTGCAACTATAGGATTGGCTTACCTCGATCAGATACGTGCAAAAAATTTAATGTCCTAGATAACAAACTTAAAGATGTGACCTCGACGAAAATGAACGAAAAGTTTTAGCAGCGGAAAAGAAGATGCATGACATTAAGGCCGATTTCTTTATCAAGGAGCTGAAGAAAACCACAGTGTGCGAGCATAGCGACGAAGTAGAGGTTCTGACATTTGACTTTCAACAAAACCTTCCACTTCAAAAATTCCTGCTGGGGAAGCTTTCTACAAACGCCAGTTGTGTACATATTACTTCTGCGTCCATTCTGGTAAGACAAATCAAGCGCACTTTTATATGTGTGATGAAACTACGGGTCGAAAGTCAACAAGCGAGGTAGAGTCATTTTTGTACCACTATATAAAAAATATACTCCCTAAAAATGTTAAAAGTTTGACACCTTTTCTCCGATAACGCTGCTGCGTAAAACAAAAACTCAGTAATAATTCAGTTTCTGTATTTGCCGGTGAGAACTAGGTCTATTGACAAGATAGAGCACCGCTTTTTTGAGCCAGAACATAGCATTCTTTCCTGTAATCGCTGCATTGAAGTTATTGAGAAGTTTTTATGGAAGAAAAACCTCTCAATAGCTAGTTGTTTTGAGCCTCCAACAATATCCTGATTTTGTTAAACCATCATCCAAATAGTTTATTTCGGTTCTGGTAAAACAAAACATGATCCTAAACTTTAGTGGTCACTATGAAGGACAGTTTTAAAAAGTTATCGTCATCATCATTGGTGCTACAGCCCTATAAAAGAGCCTCGACCTTTCCAAGTCTACTACGCCAGTCAGTTCTATTTATTGCCAACTGTTGCAAGTTTGCTGCGCCTATTTTTCTACCATCCTCATCTACACTATCCCTTCATCTGAGTTTTGGCCTACCCCTACTTCTACTTCTCACAGCTTGTGACATAAGGATTCTTCTAGGAGGGTTGTTCTGCGGTGATCTTGTCAGATGTCCTGCCCATCTTAGTCTTCCTATTTTTATGAGAGATACTACGTCTTTACCACCAAATATATATTTATATCTGTGATATATCTCATAGTTGTACCTCCTTCTCCAAACAACATTTTCACAGATGCCACCGAATATTCTTCTCAGGATCCTTCATTCAAATATAAGCAGGAGGTTTTCATCTGCCTTGGAAATGGTCCATGTCTCGGATCCATATGTCAACACTGGTTATATAAGGGTTTTGTATATGGTTATTTTTGTTTTTTGGCTTAAGTTTCTACTTCTCATATATCTACTCAATCCAAAATAGCATTTGTTTGCTAGGATTATTCTTCGCTGGATTTCTTCCGTCATAGCGTTCTCCTTGGTGATCAGGGAGCCTAAGTATGTAAATAATTTGTCCACCACTTCAAAGGTAGAATTATCAACAGTGAATTAGTGGCCGATGTTTCTGGCTCTATTGTTGGGTGTTGATGTCATTATCTCAGTTTTCTCCTCATTTACTTGCATGCCCATATTTTTTGAGGCATTTGACAAGATATTATACATTTCTTCTAGTTTGCATGTTGTGCAGGGAACTAGGTCAACATAATCTGCATATGCAAAAATTTTTGGATGATTTATTAAATGTGTTTCCTTTGTTGTCTATTTGGGCACCCCTGATTACCTTTTTCAGAGCAATGTTGAAAAGGAGACACGCCAGTGCATCTCCCTGTCGCAGCCCAACATGCGTTTCAAATACCTGTGATTGTTCGCCCTGTATTTCGACTTTGCAAACAACTTTACGCATTGTAGCCCTAACCAATCTTATTAGTTTATCGAGGATGTGAAATTCATCCATGGCTTCATACAATTTATTTCTTAGGACCCTATCATAGGCCGTGACGGAGCCTTGTAACTGACAGCCTACATCATGAGAGTTAGAAATCTTTTAATTGGCCTTACTTCAAAGGTCTTGTGAATGGATGCATCTCCATAGGTTTGGTTCTTCAGTGACCGTTGAAGGATAAGAATCCTTAATGTGAGCAAATATAGCTCCAGAGAAATAAAATCACTTTTGAGTTTATCGATTTATAATTAAATCTTTTAAGAGTAGAGAGGCCCAACACGGCCGTAACTTACTATACAGTATCAAATGTATTGTTTCTTTATAACACGTAAAATAAACACGAGAGAATAAACATGAGAAAGTGCGCGATTTCGGCGGAGAGAAATATTGCGAGTTTTTAACTACCCGCTGCGGCGATGCCTCGACGGCGATATGCCAACTTGAACTGCTCTAACTGAACTGATAAAAAAACTACATAATGCGTAAGACGACCCTTATTTTATTTAGGTGTGAAAAATATTTAACAGGGTCATACTCGCCAGTCGGTCGGGTGTCGCGTTCAAACTTGATAAAATGACTATCCCAGTTATTCTACACTAAGCAAAGTCAAAGAATTAAATTTTTATTTTATATTTTAAAAACAATATGTTCATTTCTGGAACAGGCCGATTTAAAATCTACGAAAAGATGGCATGTGTCGATATTGAATTCATTGGTTTTTTCCAGTATTTGCGTTAGCACAAAGATCTGGTCTGTTGTTGATCGACCAGGCCTAAAACCACTTTGATATTCGCCAAGAAGCTCCTCTGAATATGCACTCCGGGGACTATATAAAATACTCGAAAAAATTTTGTATGCTGTATTCCCTATAGTTTTTACATTCCAATTGATCACCCTTTTTATGTAGCGGGCAAACGATCCCAATACACCACTTCTTGAAGTGATGGAGGCTCCAATGGTGTATTGTTGCTTGCTCCTGGGGGTGGTTGATTTGGATCTTCTACTTCGATAGTAAGTAGTTCTTTATAGTGTTCCACCCACCTTTTCAATACTTCTTCTTTTGTATTGAGTATATGCCCCTACTTATCCTTACATAGTCCGATCCTTGGTTTAAATTCTTATCTTGCATTATTCAGATTTTTATAGAATTTTCTTGTTTGATTTTCCTTTTTTAATGCCCCAAGGTCTTCCAATATTCTATTTTCATAAGTTCGCTTTTTTCTCCGATGGATGTACTTCTCTTCTATTCTGAGATCTTTATATTTTTGTTCTTTTTTTCGGGTTGTTCTTTGCTGCATTATTTTATATGCATTGTTCTTTCTTCTTGTAATGTCAGAATCTCATCAATTACAGCATCGAACCACTCATTGCATGGTGGTGCTCTTTGCGGCCTTAGAATGTTATTTGCTGCGTCTTTATTATAATTTTTACACATTTTCCATTGTTCACTAATTGTTAGTTTTGAAACCTTTCTACCGTTTGCGGATTTTTGAGGAGTTCAATATTAAGACGCCTGGTTTTGGTACTTCTATCTTTCTTCGCATTTGAGATTCTAACCCGAATTCTTGTGCCAACTAGAAAATGATCTGAATCAATATTGACGCCTCGATAGGTGCGGACATCCATAAGGTTGGAGAAGTGTCTAGCATCTATAATCAATTTGGTTCTTCGTTAATCTATCAGGCGAGGTCCAAGTCTCGATATGTATTTTTTTTGTGTAGAAAACATGTGCTTCCTACGATCATTGTTCTTTGTGGTTGCGAAGGTGACTGCTTGGTGTACATTCCAATTAGTATTATTATGGAGACTATATTTATCAATGTACGGTAGATATATTTCTTCCCTTCTGATTTTTACGTTCAGATCACCGATTACTATTTTAATGTCATTTCTGGGACAATTGTCATATGTTCTTTCTAATTCATCATAGAATTTGTCTTTTTCTTCGTCTTTCTTGTCCTCTATTGGGGCATGTACATTAATAAGGCTAATATTAAAAAACTTGTCCCTGATCCTTAAGCAGCTCATTCGCGGATTTATCGGCTTAAAATCTATAACCAAGTGCTTGACTTTATTATTGACTATAAAGGCTGTCCCAAATTCATGTCTGGTTATATGGCAACTATAGTATATATTGTAGTTTGCTTTTTGGATTATGCCATGGCCTATTCATCGTACTTCTTGTATTGCAGTAATATCAGCATTATATTGTGCTAATATGTCACATAGTTTGCGGATGGTTTCAGGTTTGTTAAGTGTGCGAACGTTCCAGGTAAATACATTAAGATCATTAAAAAGTTATCTTAGATGCAGAAAAGCAAATACCGAATTTTCCAGTACAGTAATGAACATTTAGATGGTATTAAAGCAAGTATATCTACTAGCCTTCCTAGTTTTCACAGAATAAAAATTCCACTGTCATTACCATGCTGAGCTATTGGCTTCAGTTTGAAGCTCCAAGACAAATAAACGAAATTGTGGGGCATTCTTATATTTCCCCTGATCGTGTGTTTGGACAAATTGAAAGGATTTTTAAAAAACACTCAATAATTGTTTATCCTGATGAATATGTAAAGATAATCAAAAAGTTTACCACTCTTTACAGAGCTCGAACTGGTTTTGAAATTAAGGACTGGAAGGCTGAAACTCAAAAAGTAATAAAACAACCAAGCTATTGGCATTTTAAGTTCCAACCGTTAAAGAGAGTAATCATTACAAGAGGACAAACACTACCACTTATAAGGGGTGAGGCATTTTACACAAACTGACTTGCGCACCCAAAAGCTTATGCAAAAGAGGAAAAAAAGTCTTACAAATTAGTCCAAGAACACTGAAGGCTAGGATAGCGATTCAAGAAGAAAAGAAAAAAAGTATCACTAAGCTATTAGAGAAACACTACAAAAAGGAATGGCAAGATAGAGATGAACTGATCTTTTTCAAAGAAGTATTCCATGAAGCTATAAAGGAGGGACAAGGCAGTGAGGCAAACGAAGAGGAAGATAATTGCAAAGCAGAAACAGTTAGGTTTGCAGTATAAAATAGTGGATAAATGCTATCTTGCGTTGTTGAGTAATTAAACTTATTTTTCTAATGGATTTCGATTTTTTTTTCTTTCAAAATATTAAATTTATCTGCAAACCCTGACATGTCCAAAATATATCAAAATTACCTGCTTCTGGGGGCCCCTAGATTTTTTCAAAGTGTTTTTATGTATTATTATCCAAAACCTCAATTTTATCAAAAATTTGCTGCTTAGTTTAAGTTTTCTTCATTATCTGAAATCTCATTTACCTGGACGTCGAGTTTTGAATCTAGGTGACTGAAATATCGTTGCGCATTAGTGTTAAAGAGTTTACTCATTTCGCTACAATTTTTTAAAAATACATCTTTTAGTTTTTTGCCTCTCCTGTAAAATCGCCAAAACTGATTTACAACCTTGTTCGATGAGGGTGTCGAAAGGAAAATTTATTTATTTACCAATAATCAATTTAAATATACCAAATCTCCAGAAGATTAATAATTAGTTAGCACAATTACAATATCTTCAGAAAACCGCCAAAAATTAATATTTTTCGGGGTGAATCCCAAAATTTCCTTTAAGTTTGACAGTTATTTTGATAATACCAACCTCTTATAAATAATTAGCGTTGAATTGAATTTTACTATTACAAATTTTTGTGAATATTATACTTTTATTTATTTATTTTTTTCGTAACTTAATGTACAAATTATTTTAAACCGTTGAATGTATCAATACCATTTATTAATCAAGGATATCAGCTACCATCAGTGTAGATAAATACTTGTCCAAATATTCTGGTCAAAATTACGCAATCCAAACGCTGCTTAACTTATTATTGAAAATTTTATTGGTCAATGGTAAGGTCTTCATTTTAAGGTCTCGTCTGTATTAATAATCAGGAATAAAAAGATGTTGATTAAGAAACAGATTACAGTTTTAATGTGTATTCTAAGATATACCATTGTGTTTCTCACAAAAAAGTGCAAGACTAATTTAATATGATTTTTAAAAAGTATGTGATTGCTACATTTTGTGTATTATTTGTTATTGTTTGTGAGTCCAAATATTCTCCTAGATATAATGTGGTAAGTAATAATATCGTACTGTATATGACAAATATAAATTAATTTAGTCCAACTTACCTTAGTACAAAAGTGTACACAAAAAAAGTTACAGCCCTTTGAAGTTACAAAATAGAAATTGTTTTTTTGCATTACCTCCTAAACTACTTGACATTTTATACTAAAAATGGACACGTTACTTTCTTGTTCTGAAAGCATTTTTCATACAAAAGAAACAACAAAATCTAAGCGCATAGAAAAATTTTAAGGAGGATTTGCAGCCCTAAATCCTCCAAACTTTTGAGTACGTTCAAATCAAATAAATTTTGTGGCATTATTATTTATGACATTATTTTTAAAACTTTTTTACATGTGGTCACTTTTTTCAAAAAACAGTTTTTATTGAGTTACGGGCCTTTTCATTAACCTTTAAAAAATTACGTGCAGCTAAATAAATGACTTAAATGAATTAATAAGTACAAAAAATGTCAAAACCTCTATAACTATGATATTAACCTTCCGTTACTCGCGCCAATTTTCTGTGATCGAATACTCGCGCACGGTGCAGAAGACCGGGTCCGAAAAAATGGGGTCAGTAATATTTTTTAATTTTCTTTTTTTGAAAATTGTGTACAATTATATTATTTAATGAATATATGATCATATAATTTTGTAGATATGCGTTTGTTTCAACATTATATTAGTTTAATGAAAAGTTAACTAATTTTCATTGTTATCCATTTATATATACAAAAAACTTTAAAAATTAAAAAAATACATTGAATATTGTTAAATTTGTTTACTAGGAACTTCAAGAAATTAATTCAATACACAAAAAAATCAAAAATGAAGAGTAATTGCAACAAAAAAAATAAGGAATAATAATTAAAATTTTCATAACATGAATTACACAATGATGTAACATGTTCCAAACACAGATATTTTGTGCATATTTGGCAGTAATATTTTGTTTTTCTATTTTTCCGCCAATGACAAACAGCACAGCGACCTTGAGTTCCAGGTGTTATGACTGGTACTTGTTCCGCTGGTAAGCCACATATCTCCCTAAGCCTCATTCTGATGGTTCTGGGTAAACTGGTAGACATAGCCCGTACTTTTTGGTAGTCACTGGTTAGTAACATCGAGAGTTTTAGTAAAAATTCTTTACGTGGTGTTTTAGATTCTTCATCTAGACTAGTATAAACTACAAAAGAGTTTATTCCTGCTACATTCAACAAACTAAAAAAAGGAACCATGGGCCATCGTCTTGTGGCACGGGCGCAATTATATTGCGCGCATAATTTATCTACCACATCTACTCCGCTCTTCGTTTCATTATATGTAATTATCATCTCAGGTTTACCTGTGGTAGGGTCAATATCATCTCCATGGTGCATTGTAGAGATAAGTAGGACGTTTCGATTTTTTTTTGGCATATGCGAAACCAAGGTGATTCCGTCATTAAATCCAAACATTGAAGAGCCAATGCACCTGCCGTTATTTTGTATAAATTCTAATGGCAACTGTTTTTTATTTTTTCGAATAGTACCCACTAAAGTTAATTTTTTTGATTTAAGGCTATCAGCTAGAGGCACACTACAAAACCAATTATCTACAGTAACATTCCTATTACTCCCATAAATGTGTGCACAAAGTCTTTCTACTACGTCTTGCGTCGCTGTACTAACTTGAAAAGGGCCATTTGGTTGTTTTCCGACGTAAACTTCTAAGTGGCTGGTATAGAATTGTTTTGCATCGGAAATGGCAAAAATTTTTATACCATATTTATTCGGCTTGCTAGGAATATATTGTCTGAAACTACAATTTCCTCTAAAAGCTTCTAGTTTCTCATCTATGGTAACATAACCAGAATGAGAATAGCATTTTTTAATGTTGCTGTTAAATTTTTCTAACAATGTTCGTATTGGAGCCAGTTTATCTACCTGTATTCTTTCATGTCTCGTGTGAATGTTATCAAATCGCAGACATTGCAAAAGAAATTGAAATCGAGGCTTACTCATTACAAGTCGAAAAGTTTCAATGCCAGTGCCATCTGTTCTCCAGAGATCCTCTAAATTCATGTGATTTGCTTTTCTAATACCAGCAAGATAAAGGAGACCAATTAGGGCTTTGATTTCGACAATGTCGGTAGGTTTCGCATCTCTTTGTCTACTGTAGTCATCTGTAACACTCTGAATTTTTATATTTGTACAGTCAACAACTAGATTTAGCATTTCTTCATCAAAAATGCAATTCCAGATGTCAATAGGTGTTGAGTGAGTTTTAACAAATTGTTTTATAGCTGGCAATCGTACAAATATATTGGTACTGCGTGTTCTTACATTCTTCGGTGGACAATGTTTTTTCCACTTTGTTAATTTATCTTTACCCATAAAGTACGGCTCCCTTCTGAAACTAACATTTTCTTCCTCTGTTTGATCGGCTTCAAATTCCTGTTCAGTATCACTACATTCAGATCGTTCTTCTACATGGTCAATTTCATTTTGTTGATCATCATCTTCATACGTTTCCTCGTCAGTCGATACTTCCTCAAATAATTTTAATAATCTCTTTTTCTCCTTCTCGTAATCCATATTCATATATCTATAAATATACAAATATATAAACATTGAAAATAATAAAAAGAACTTAAATCACCTTGCAGAGTAAAAATTTCAATGTCTGATCCAAAGCCCAAAAATGTGTCCACAATACTTGCACCCGGTGTACCGGACCGTGTTGCCTAATAATAAAATTATAATGCTCTTTTTTACACTACACACAGACTTCAACGATAAGTGACCGACGACTGAAGAGGTACATGAAGCAGCAATTCCAAATCCCCACTACAATCAGAGTTACTTGAAATGATTTAAAGGGCCGTAAATATAAATGTTCAAAATGACAACCATTTTCTTCAATACATATTTGGTATCGTTTTAATAAGGAAAACCGAATGTGCTGAAAAATCATATTTTTCTGGCGAAATTGATTTGCAGCTTCAACTATTTTAACCCTCAATTGTTGTTCGTCCTCTATTTTTACAGAATGCACTTTCTGTTTCATAAACCCCCAAGTCCATGGACTTAAGACCTGGATTTCTGGGTGGCCAAGAAATAGGCGCGTCACGACCGCTTTCAATCCACCGGTCAGGATACTGCCTGCAAAGGAATTCCCGGACTTCATTACTGTACTACAGTGAAGCGCCATCTTGTAGAAACCACATATTTTGACTTATTGCAATATTCACTTGTTCCAAAGACTTTTGTAAATCGTTTGCCAAGAACTGCAAATAATTATCACCATATAAATTTTTGGGAAGAAATACTGAGCCTATTAGATTGTTATCTACAATTTCTGCCAAATATATACACCTGTATACACCCAAGATTGTGCATTTGTGTCATCTAATCGTAAGGTTCATTTTTATTAGTTTCTCCCAAGTAGTTATGCATTTCCTTAGCTTCTTACGTATTAATATGGCAACACCTTGTTGAGCTCTTTTCTTCTTTGGCATTCTGATCTTCTTCTGATCCTTGGCACTTTCGTTTTGTTTCGGTGAATACTGTGATGTCCAATTTCAGTTTACTCATTTCATACATTATTTTATTTATTTTAGGTCTAAAACCTTGCACGTTTCAAGCACCTTTTAGCGTACGTCGTCGTTTGTTGATCGATTCATTTCGAGGCGTTTTGCTGGGTTTTTAGGTGTTTTTTGTTTCGTAACAGGGAGTTAGCCCGATGCCTCAAACCCGACTTGTAGAGCCATGATTTAATTTTGGAATATTCCTTCTCCTAGACAAATTGCTATGCACTTGCAGCTTACTGCAGCTCAAGAGCATCATCTACCCTTCGTCTGTAATCCTAGACAAAAAACCCTTACAGGGTGCTATCAACCGGGCCAATTGAATTCTGGTTTATTTTAGAGGTATGACTCCTCTATCCTTCCTCTTTTATCCGGGCTTCTGACCGGCTTTATCGATTATAGAGCTTTTCAATTCACACCATACCAAAGGCAGAGTTATTATTGATATGTTAAAGTAACTTGATTTAAAAGAGAATTTTGGTAAATTAATTTGGTATATTTGTTTATGATGCCACTAATTCCGTAATGATAGGAGACATTAACAAAGATAATTATGTTGGTATCCGTTTATATTAAATTAATAATAATTAAACTGTACTTAACCATTTTTATATAGAGGATATTATAACATTTTAATATTTCAGATGGAATTATCAAATCAAATGGGAATTACGGCTGAACCTCATAAAGTTATTACAGAAGATGGATACATCTTACAGATATTTAGGATAAAAACTCTAAATAGGATGGAGCAAGACAATCGAGAGCCAGTATTATTACAGCATGGCATGCTTGGATCGTGCGAACATTTTCTACAGGCCAAAAATAACTCCTTAGCTCTAATATTACTTAACAATGGTTTCGATGTATGGCTAGGAAATAGTAGAGGAAATTTTTATTCTAGAAAGCATGTATCGCTGGATGCTGACAGAGATAAGGAATTTTGGTTTTATACGTAAGTTTTAATAAGAAATAATGTTTAAACCATTTATTAATATAAACATACAAGAAATACAGGGCATTAGTGACTGTAGATATAAACAAAACCACCAGTTTATTAGGGCTGCAGTCAAAAGGTTGGCCGTGATGTTAGAGAAACACTGTTTTGATTTTTTGTCAAGCTTTCGGAATTATTGTATTTCTTTTTCAAGGCACTGTAATATATATCAAAAATGTGTAAATATTTACAAAATATCACAATTTGTTGGACACTCAACATTAACAACACAAATATAAAATATAATAATGGACAATACATTCTAAAAATTTTGGTCAGGATAGTAAAACTTAGTTTATTTCATGAAATCTTTTTATAGTGTGTTTAATGTAAATAAAAAGTAATTAGTTGTTCTTAATATTGTATTTATTTTTAACAACCAAGAGACCCATATTGGGTAGATTTATTTTTTATTATCCAATCTGTCTTAATGGTATGCAACCAGTTATGCATACAAAAATATGTAAAGGTAGTTATTTATTTTATTATTGATTATTTTCCAGTAAATAGCAATAAATATTGCTCAATTTATCTATGACAGACTTTTTATTTATGCAAGATATACTATATATTATGAAACACATTTCCAAGAAAACACGTTTTGCATGGTTTTTTCTTTTGCCAAAATTTTTATATACTGCCCAAAGTAAACTTGCTAAACACGAACCCAGACACAGAACCCAAACACAGACCCTGATGGTTTCCAGGGCAACAATCAACGTCAACCACAGAGGAAGCTACATCTACCTCGTGAAAGGAATGCCGAACGTTAAAACGTTTAAAACAAATGGAAAGGTTTTCCTTCTCCAGGGTGTTTGGAAAAGTGTCAAGACTGATTTAAATATTTTTGGCATAATATTTAAATGGCTAATGGCAATAGCCACTTTTTATGTTTGGAGAAAATCGAGTTTTGACTCAATGATGAATAGCTCAAGTGCGAATTAAATATATAGTTTAAATATATATATATATATATATATATATATATATATATAAAATTTAAAAAAATAGTTTTTTTTTTATATTTTATATTTATGCAGTTAAAAAACTAGCCAGAAACAAATCACTTGGAATAGATAATCTCCCAGCTAAACTGTATAAAGAAGGTATCGATGATACCATAATAGCATTACAGTAGCTTATAAAAGAAATATTGACACAGCACCATATGCAGGACGGATATGGTGCTATACGGTGCAGCAACTTTGTCCGGTCTACGTGTGCGTAGGATTATTTTTGTATGCTTTGTGAAAGTATTTTTATAGTATTTATAAGTCAGTTAAAAAGCATTTTTATTTGAATGCATAGTTATAAGGGGGAGTTCATATCACATATATCGGTAATCAAAATCAAGTTATAAATAACACGCGTCAGATGTTTCGAAAGTATTTGAACATCCTATATTCCGTATAAGAGAGATAGAAAAACAGAGCATGAAAGTTACTTTCCCTCAAATAAATATTGGACATTGACTTGTTATCCAAATCATCAAAATTTTAGCACTGCTTGGACGTTCGTACCGGTGTAACGCCGGCAATTATGCGGGGTAGAAAAGTACGGCTATTGAATATGCCAGTGTGTGCATTTATTTCTAAATGTTAGTTTAGTATTTTACGACGCGACCTGTTATTGTATATGTGATAATAATTATTTTTACTCTAAATATGGCCTTTTGGCGACAATTTGAAAATGAGGAAATATTAAAACCGACCGTATTGTGTTGAAAATAGTTTAGAATTTACGAACAAAGACCTACATGTGCAGTGTCAACGTATTGTTTTAAAACATATATGAGGTTTAAAAAAAAAATGACAAAAAACTCTGACAGAACTATTAGTAATAGAATACGTGAATTACCAAACCTATCACTATCAACAATTTATCGTATTGTGAGGAAGGGAACGTAATAAATCACTGTTTAAAACGAGAACGTAAATAATCAAAAATTCAGAAAAATAGTCGAGATGGATAAGAATATTATTCGGGAAAAAACAGTTTGTTATAACTTGTACAAGGAAAACAGGTACCTACACTGCATATGATCCAGGTTACTCTAAGAGAAGACCCTGATTATGACTACCGAGTTTAGCGACATTACGGAAATATTTTAATAGACTGTGGGGTTTGATATAATAAAAATTAAATAATGAATGGTAAATAATGGAGTAGTCGCAGCGAATATCAAACTTAGGCAGGGTTATTTACATAATTAAAGGAATATCGGACAGTCCAATAGATTAATAATATTCTAGACGAGACGTGGTGTTGACACACACGACGTCGTTAAGTATGGTTGGGTAGATTAAATCCTCAGAGTGCTGTTTAAATACACCATGTTCAAGGGGAAAGCGCTAATAATCTTGCATGCAGTAGTGAACAAGGATTTGTACAAAATTGCATTAGGCTACTTCTGCCTAAATACATCATGATCATTTGCCGATTTTTTATCATCATGAAGCCATGACCGCTCATTTATTTGAAAAATGGTTTAAGAAACTAACTTCTTCCTAATATTCGCCCAACTCTGTATAGTCTATGGACAATGCTTCTTATCATTCACGACTATTAAGAAAAATACCAACAGTAGTACTAGGAAAGATGATATTATAACTTTTTTGTGAGATAATAAAATACGTATTCCTAATAGAGTCACTTTTAAAGAAAGGATTTTATTAAGTATTGTAAAGTCCCACAGTTTTAATACAAAAATACGTACTTGACGAACTATGTAAGATAACAAGGTCATACTATTTTACGCTTGCCACCTTATTACTGCATTTTTTAATCCATATAGAAATGATTTGGGGAATATTAAAGACGCGCTTAAGGAAAACGAATGAGTCACCGACATTGAACGCAGTCCAAACTAGAAACATACGACAAGCAGTCAATGAGTTCGATAGTGAGATTTGGAAGAACTGTGTCTCATGTTATCGACATAGAAAATGAATAGCCCTTAGTGGATCGTGACCACCATCCATTGTTTATTCGCCTATTTGGGACCCGATCTAGTTCTGATTATATTGCTGATTAAGGTATGTGTGAAATAGTTGTTCATGTAATCATACATTGACTATAACTATCTATGTATTCATGTCTGTTTATTAACTCATGTTCGGTTAAATGATTTCGGAATTATCAACTTTGTCTACTATACAAAAATGTGTTTTCGTTATATGAGCCCCGTCTCAGTGAAGTTGACCCAACCAAGAAACTAGCTTTTTTGGTACAGAAATTTGCCTATTTTCTTATTTTACATCTAAATTATTATGTTTACGTTGATCAGCAGTTTTTTAAAGAAATATTTGAAACATTTAAGTCTTAACTGGTAATTAAATAAAACTTAATTATGTTTTTTATGCGTTTAAAATTAAGCATGATAATTTAGTTAATATATATATATATATATTTAGTATATATTTATATGATATATATATATATATATAATTGGGTTTCCCATTTTCAAATACCAAATGTGCGTTTCTTTTAATGATTTTTCATTATACAGGGTTGCAGAAAAAAATTTGTATGCAACACATGCATAAGATGTCTTTTTTTCACTCGTGGAAATTACCGCACTTGCCTGTTGGCTAGGTGCAGTTATTCTTTTCCAGTCGTGAAAAAAGTACAATTTATGCACTGTTGATAAATTACTATTATTTTAAGGACCGCGCAAAATTGAAGTTGTCATAATACATCACGCACTCTTTCCGAATGTCCATACACGTCGCTGCCACGCACTAGTACACTATTAACTTAAAAATAACTTAACGGTAATTAAATTAAATTAGATTTGTTCCTTAATATGACACTTTGCACTATGTATTTTACGACCGTTTTACGTACATTTTAAATTTGTCAATTATATTCAAGGAATACTTGAATATTAACAAAATAAATGGTGCGCTCATGTCTTGTATATTATATATTCTTTTATGTTTGCGGCAACAAGTTTTTTTGGTGTTTCAAACTGACTTTTATAAATTCTATACTTTGCTAAAGATTTTATATATCCATTTTAGACTACTATCTCTCTCTCTCTCTCTCTCTCTCTCTCTTTCTCTCTCTCTCTCAATCTCTCTAGGACGCTTATGCGTATATTGATCAAAAGTGTGGAAGATGTATATGTTTTTAATACCTTAAACAAAATGTTGCTATTAGAAATAATCGATATAACTGTCTTACTCTTTGTATGAATTTTGAAGCTAGTTCGCTTTTCATACACTTATAGTCAATTTTTTGCACTCTTTTTTGTTGCTGAGATATTTGTAGATATTATTTTTACCCATGGCGTCAATGTTTTGATCATGGTATCACGTTAATCTTAGCGAAGTTCATATAAATCCTAACGCTTCTTTACAAAGGGGGGTTTTCTGTGAGACGCGTTATTTCTTATAAATACCTGGTATGGTACTCGTTGTTTGGATATTTAAATATTTGCGTACTCCCTATATAATTCGGCATACAGATATTGTCAAAGTCGTTTATTGACCGAGGTTTGTTAACTTTGGCTACAACCGTAAAATAGATTCCTTTATGAATACAATCCATTTCATATGCTATCTGTGTCGTTCTGCTTGGATCAGCATTGGCGGGTGTTATAAGTTCACTTTAGACAAGTGAAGCTGTTGTTGTTTGACTCACTTGCTGTTCATGTTGCTACTATGGACGTCTCGTATGCTGTCACTTCCACGCTGGCTCCAAACGTGCTCTGGCGATTCCCAAGTAGTAGATACCTAAAGGTATCCGCTGGGTAACAGCGCTACAGATATCTTGAAAGTATTTTTCATTTGAAGAGAGCCACGCCTGATAGAACTTAAAGAAATAAATTTACAGTAAAGAATAATAAGTAATAACATCATACATAAAAAAGTGGTAATTAAACGATACTTCAAAAACTACGTCAAATATGTATTGGTCTAATCTAAAAGAATTCATTTTATTATTTTCACTTTAGACTGGATCAATTAGGACAATACGATCAACCTGCCGTAATAGATCACATTTTAAAGACAACCGGAAAACAACAGCTATCCTATATTGGACATTCCCAAGGAGGCGGAGCGTTATTGGCAATGGCATCCGGTCGTTCTGAGTATAACCAAAAAATTAAAATATTCGTGGGATTAGCTCCTGCAGCGTATATGAGACATAATCGGCATCCTTTGCTTTTAATTCCAAAAAGTGTAGTTGACTTTTTAAAGGTAAGATAATGGACATAGGTACTATTTTAAATTAATTTATTTTAATCTTTTACTTTCATACACAAGTTTTTTTTTAATTGAAACATTTATGGCACAGAATATACCGGATGTTAAGTAACATACCAAGCTGCCATGGTTTGTTTTTTAATCAGGAAGGGTAAACTAAAACAAAAGATTCACATACAAGAAAGTTACTAGAAAAGTCACCAAACACATTTTCTTTTTTGGTTGATTATCTCGGCCTTACGATTATTCAGTAATCAGTATCGTATTTCATCACACGTCGATTCTAACCTAACTTTGTTTCGGTTTTCACTCTACTGTGAAAATTACAAGATGAGTCTCAGATATACACGTTTTTACAATTGGCACACGGTATAGAATAAACAACATTCGATGACTCCAGTATTGTGAAAGGATCCTTTGTCTTTGTGTACAACATTTTTGAAAATGTTTATTAGCTTAGGTGTCAGAACTGGAATATAGGGTAGGCAACCACGCGTTATTTTAGATTATGGTAGCTCTGATGTGTTGTGTGTCAATGTCAGTGTCAGTTGTCGAACCTCATTATTATGAAAATTTTGGTTGTACATTTCTTCATAATAATGAGGTAAACTTATAAATAAATATATTTATATAAATTCGAACCATTTTTTATTTAAAAACGTTTTTTATTTAAAAACGCTACAGTATGTTTATTGTTCTAACCTATTTTTAAATTTCTGTGTTTTAGGATTTACTTCAATTGCTTAACATATATGAAATGGACGCAGTCTCTAACAGTGAATTGTTCTCTAAAATATTCCAAGGTATGTGTGGCGAAAAAGTAAACTACAGAATCAATTGTCGCCCATTAATTGATTTTTTATCAGACAGTTTAAATTCCCTTTTTGATTATGTAAGTAAAAAAGTTATATTAATATTCTTGATTTACAATCAAAAATTTAAAAATGAAAACAGCATATGAAATAGTAAGTGAACATAATAGCATGTGCGTTTTTGTTCCCATGCACTATTTTTCTTTTTAACCACTTCTCGTTTGACTTATTTATTCAAGTTTTTGTATTGTTGTTTTGTTTGTTTGTCTCCCTGTTGTAATAACTTTTGATATACTTCCTTTTTTGTTTATTTTTTCTTCCACATCTTTATCCCACCAATATGGTTTATCTACTCTCCGTACCTGTGGCTCTAAGGCTTCTAGCGCTGCGTCTTTCATGCAGTTTTTTATATGTTCGTATTCATCCGTCGTTGATCTGTGTGATTCCTGTAGTTTTTGTGTTAGTCTCCAGGAGTAAAGTAACTGTGTGCTCTCGTTATCTAGATTGTCTAAGGTGTACGTAGTTCTTTCTATTTTTTCTCTGTGTTCTTTGTTGATGTCTGTGTGGTTCCTGTCTACGAATGGTGTATATATTTTTTCTATTATCAGGCAGTGGTCCGAGCCGCACTCTGCTCCTCTATTCACCTTTACGTCCTGTATTCTTAACTTAGTTTGTTGTCTTGTTATGAAATAATCTATTATCGATTTTAGACCTCTTGTGTGCTGATACCAGGTGTATTTATGTATGTTCTTGTGGGCGAAAAAACCATTCAAAATCTTTAACTCATATTGTTGGCATATATTTATGAGTCTTTCTCCGTTGTTGTTAACAGTTTCTTCTCCATGCATGCCTACCACTTTACTTAGTACTTGTTTTCCTACTCTGGCGTTAAGGTCTCGTCCGCATATAATCTCATAGCTGTTAGGAATTTCGTTCAGGATTTTTCTATAGTCTTCTTCAAAAGCTTCCTTTTCTTGTACTGAGTAGTCATCATTTACGGCATATACCCCCAGAATTGTTATTTGTGTTCCTCTTAGGAGAATCGTCACTTTAATAAAACGTTCGTTGTATGCTTCCCAAGATTTAATATATTTTTCGAATTTCTTGTGTACAAATATTGATATCCCTGCTCTTGCTCTTTGATCCTTTCCCACTCCTGAGAAGAAATGTACATAGTCTTTTAATTTTTCGTTTCCATTTCCTTTTTTCTTGGTCTCAGAGAGAATAGCTATATCTAATTTTCGATTTACGAATTCCTGCATAATTTCTTGTTGCTTGTTCCGGATTCACTGTATATTCCAGATTCCGTAATTCATGGTCTATTTTCGTTGCTGTTTTCGTCTACTGTAATTTCCATCCAGTGACCAAGGCTCTGTAACTCTGTGGCTCTGTTTTTTAGCACTGTAGAATTTTCACAAATGTAAGGTCGCTGGCCTTACGACTTAACCCCCATCCTTGGAGGACCGAAATTTCTGTTGGGGTTCATTCCCCTTGCCGGTATGTTCCAGTTTTTAGGCGCAGAGTTGCCCTCTCTCGTCTGCTACATAACGCATTCCCATTGTACACCACATGCACCGAGTGGTTACGCGACATGGAATGTCTTCGTGGACGTGAGAGTAGGATTTGCTGGCAGAGCTGAGTTTTATTCCTAAAACCTCCAACTCATTCGTTGGAGAACAGTGGGCATTTCTTAGAGTTTTGTTACGATGCTATATTATATTTTACTTTATTAATAACATATTACTATTCTTAAACTAAAAATATTTTGATTTTAGAGCTTAGCTCCTGAGATTTTTACAACTACGCCAGCTGGAATGGGCTTCTTTCAGGTTTTACACTACGTGCAAATGCATACAAACGGTAGGTACAATGCAGATATATTAAAAATAAAAGCAATAATCTACTTATACAACATTGTAGGTTATAATAAATTTCAACCCCTTCATCACTACCAATTTTGATTTGGTAGGTCAACTATTCTGACGTTGTGAACATTAGAGAATTCAAAGCTTCATGTTTTATTGTTTTTGTTTTTATTTATTTAATCACTATTATTATTTAATATTTATTTAAAATTATTTAAAAAATAAAATAAAATAATGAGGCCTAGTAAGTAAATCTAAAGTTATAATATACATAATAATATTTGCATGTTTCGTCCAGATTTAGCTATACGGCTGACACTCCCTCTAAAGGAAAAATTCACTCATCCCAGATACCTATGGTATCAAAAGGATTCGTCTTGGATGGATGGATTGGATGGTTCTTTGGAATGACTTTAGTAGTAAAGAAAATTATTGTTGTTGGGTATCGAAACATCAATTGTTGTTGTTTGTCTCTAGTCAAAGTTTGTTGACTAGTAGTACCATTGAACTAGTATAAGATCTGGTCTATTATGTTCCACTGTTTAGTCTGTGAGCTCAGTGCGATCCCAGTATAGCTTGTAGTTGTCACTAATAAGTATACTTTTAAAAATGTATTAATAATATGGGAGATGGTTTGTTTGGAGCAGTCCAGTTTGATGGCTATCTCTTGATAAAGAATCTTTCCTACTGAGTCATGCCTTTCCTTATATTTAGTTGCAGCAAATACCTGGCAGTACCCGTTAAGATGTTGGATGGTCTCTTGAGCTTTACATATCGGCATGTGCCATTTTGGACCTGAGGGTCTTTGACTATATTTCTCGTAATTTTTGGTTGGTATAACCTGATCCTAAATGGCGAGTAATGAATATTCTGTTTCAGGTAATATCTTTCCCAATATCGACCAACCTTCTTCTTAGAGTGCCGTCTCCCTACGGAGGTTGGCAATCAGAATGGCTATTTTTAGTTTTGAACTTGCTGTTTTAAACAAATCAATCGATCTGCATTGATACCAATCACGTAGATTATTCAAACATGAGTTCTGCTTTCGGCCAACAGATCTTCCTTGAATATTTCCCTGTAATATTATAAGTCTCAATATTTCATATTTTGGTGCCCTTATTACGTGGCCTAGGTATTCCAGTTTTCTGTTTTGTATAGTGGTAATTAGTTCTGTTTCTTTAACAACCCTCCAATACTTCTTTATTTGTAATTATATTAGTCCATGATATTTTTAACCCTCTGCGGTATAACCAGAGTTCGAAAGCCTCGAGTTTTTTTAAATTACATTTTTATAATGTCCAAGTCTAAGCTCCATATAATAATATTAAAAATATATAACAGCAAATGGTATATAGTCTGATCTCCAAATTTAGACTTTTGCACGTTAGGAGTAGGGATGGGAAAAACCTACCGGTTTTAACCGAAAACCGGTTTTTTTACTTCGAAATAACCGGTTTTATCGGTTGTTTTTTTGTCCCGGTTATAACCGGTTTTTTATTTTTAAAGTAAAAACCGGTTATTAGGTTTTTACAGTGATTAGGAGTAGGTTAGGTATTATTTTGGATCCCACCCAATCATAATTATTATTCTCAAGTAATTATTCCAAACAAAACTAAAATTCAATTTTTATTTTATTTTATAAATACAAAAGCAAACTGAAAGTGCAAGCTCACATGAGCCAGAAACAATTAAATTTTATTATAGTATTTCGTTGAAAAAGTATCTGTAATCATAATATTTTTACATAAGAAGTGATCTGGTACGTTATATATTTTTCACACTTGACTCTTGACATTGAAAGTGGGTGAATGGCTTTTTCTGATTACCAAAAATAACGACTATGAATATCGAATTACCGATTACGAATACGAATCTCCAAGGATTTCCCTACGTTTTCAAAACGATTTATACCCATACCGGAAGTCGTAAATGAGTTAAAAGTAATACATGATAAATTTTTTTTGATGGTAGTAAAAATAAAAGATGAATTGCATTATCCAATTTATTTTTAAGTAAAATATTTATGTTGATATTATTTTCTTTAAATCCCATTATCCCATTTGAAAAAGTCTTGGAAATTTTTGTTAAGGAATTTTTTTCTCACAAAACACAAAAAATTGTGTTGTATTTACATTTATATTGATGTTCTTTCGATAGTACTAATTTTTATCACATTGATATCGAGTCTAATGTAGTATCGCAAACTAAAGTGCATTGTAAATGTAACTTTCTAATCTATTGGATTAAAAAAACCGAAAACCGGTTTTTGGAAAAACCGGTTTTTTTGGCCGGTTATAACTGCCAGGTTAAACCGTAAGCAAAAAAAACCGGTATAACCGAAAACCGGTGTTTTGTCAAAAACCGCCATCCCTAGTTAGGAGTGGCTTCTTTAAGTTGTCTTTAAGTACTTTAAGCTGTCTTGGGGGAATATACCTTAATAATTTTAATTGATGTTCTTCTTATTTTAAGTATGAAATAGTCGACACGATCTGATATACCTTTGATAATTTGGACATCCTTACTTATAGCTTTATTCATTATAAATCCTACTCCAAATTTACTATTCGTTTCATTTCCTTTATATAGTAGATTACCGGATTTTAGCTGTATTCAGTGTTCTTCTTTTCGTCGTTTTTCTGATAGGCCTATAATATCCCATTTTATGTTTGTTAATTCTTCCAGTTCATGTATTTTTTCATCTGTGGACATTGATCTAACATTGTATTATTGACAGGTTGACGGATTTTTTTGATTTATGTTGTGCTCGTCTTAGTGGGTTTTTGTTTTTATCTATCAAAAGCGAATTATTGCCTCCCACAGATACCATAAGGCAGACCTTTGAGGTGTGGGATTCAGAAATTTTCATAACCACCTGGGGACCAGTGTTTTAATAACTAGTAAATATTCTATTGTAACTTTATTGGATTTGAAACGTGTCTGCACCTTAAGTTGACAAAAATCTAGTTTAGAAATTAATCGCCTTTTTTTCATTTCCTAAGCATGTGTTTTCATCACCTTTATGTAATAATTACAAGTTAAGATACTTTGAATGCTAATAAGTATGAACACTTATACATTTTAGCAAAATATTATACCAAAACGTGTTAGCAAAAAGTGATTAAAATTTTTGAACTTAATTTGTTTTAGGAAGATTTCAAAAATATGATTGGGGCCCAGAAACAAATTTACAAAAATACAATTCAACAGTTCCTCCAAAATATGATTGGTCAAAGATCACATGTCCAACAGTATTAATATATGGTTTAAGTGATGCGCTGGTTAACCATCAAGTAAGTAAATCATATCAGTTATATACAGGGCGGGTCTAAAATAATTGTACATAGAAATATAGACAATGGACACACTAGGCCCATAAAATATTGATAATAAGCAATATACTATGGTTTGTTTTTTAACCAGGAGTAATTCAAATTTACCGCGCCGTAATGCTTGTTTTTAATTGGTCCAATCGCAGGAAAGTCTACTGCACTAAATTATGACATTTTGAAAGTAATGACATCTACGAAATTTTAAAATTCAAAATTGATATCGAAGATTTTTTGTATTTTCTGCATTATTCCTTTCATTTTTAGGTTTTTCGTTTGCATTTATGCAAAAAACAGTTTTTTCAGAAATATTTAGCGATGTATTAGTGTTATTAAGATAACAATATGGATTTGATGCCAAGTACTAATGGTAATTATCCTTCTCCACACAAAAAACACCGAGTAGATTTGAGTCTTCCAATCCATCTTGATAAGACTGCACTTCGTTGAAAAATTATGTGATGTAATAAATAAGCACCATCAGCGCTAATGCAACAGTTGATCGATATATTTTCACGAGCTGTACCACAAATGCGTTGATAAAGCGCTTTATTTTTTGGTCAATACCTTTAATTTTGGAGGGATCCGTCCAAATTCCAGACTCGTGTCAGTTGAACAAAGGCTCAGGCATTTGATCAAATAAATTTTCATTTACAATTTGTTGGTACAAGTACAAGTTGTTGTAATGGTCTACTACAAGAAAAGAATCAGAAGACTTTTATTTTGCAAACTTAGTGGTTTCTTTATTGATAATGAAGGATGTTGATTTATAAAATTCTTATACCAATCTTGCCGGTTTTATTTTGCTTGAAAGGAGTGGAAATGTTTGAATCTTGACAATAACTTTGAACGAAAGATAATGTAAACTCAGAAACCTTTTTTGGATGGTTCTAGAAAGGTCACCAATGGAGACACTGCGGACGTCAGCCAGATGGTTGGTGGAGAGCGAGTCGTGGGTTCAAAACTAGCTTTTGGAACCGAGAATGAGTCCAACGGAGAAAATAAGTAAAGATAGAAGATAAGATATATTAGAAAAGATACAGAAATAAACAAAAAGATAGATGGGTAAAATTACCAAAGATACGATAAGATAGAAACAGGGCGCCACTCAATTTTTTGGGGTTAAGGAGAAAATTAAGAAACCTTAGAAAAGAAAAGAGATAAGGAAAGATATTTAGGTTCAGAGATCAAACCCAAGGAAAGATACCAACAGTTAATTATCAAATAAATTTGGTCAACACATTATATAAACAAATAATAAATATATTAGGTATTACACTTACTTACCTACGAAACTTAATCAGCCTGATCTTTCTACTGGTCAAAGGCATAATAATAATTAAAGGTAAAAAGCAAATATTCAGAGTTACTATTTTATCAGGGAACTTGTTAGGAGCCGACAAATAAAATACATACATAAAACAATAACAATATATTCAACAACAAAATTATGACGCTGCTGAATGCAACACAAGTAATAAAAATACACCAACAACTATGAAATGGTGGTATACATATAAAAATAAGCAGTAATATAATTAGAAAATACCTTTACAAAGATATATAATACAATCATGTACAAATAAAGTTTTGGCGTATCTCGAGATATTACAGCAAAAAAAAATGAATAAAAATTATAACAAACACAAACGATAACAAAAATTAATCAAATCTAAATTTACAAAAATACAAAAAGGTTACAGAAATGAAAACATAAAAATTTAACCAAACCGCACTTGGTTAAGTCGATTTGCACTCTCGCACTATTATTTAATGATAAACTGAGACTTAAATATTCATAATTATTACTTATTGAAATTTCTTAGTAGCTGATGGAATTTGGTTCGTAACAAAATATTGACTGTTCTTTAAATTGAATGCAAAATTCAGTAGTTACTCTCAACTACAGGTGAAGACATGGATGAACTTTAGATACGTCCAGATAATGGAGGATGATATGATACCATACCATATTACTCGCCCAGATAATTGAAGATAATGATTAGTACTACAGTAAATCTTGATGACTGCTGCACTAGGTACTTCACTGAAGCTATATACTGTACTTAATACTTTACTTGTATCAAACACTGAATTTAATTAACATTGAAGTTATTTTATAACAATATTTAATCTAATATAGTATAGGATTAACAAAAACTCAAATATAAAATGTATACACATTTAGAAAACAATTTACAGACGGTAAGATAATAGATATACAGTAAGATCTAGTCCTTACGCAAAGACTGTCTTACCAGAAGTAAGTCTTTCTTTGCAAAAATTTACCAAACTCACAAAAAAAGAAGAAGGGATATCTACCACTTAAAAATCATAGGCCCGCCTGTATCTATTTCTAAGAAGATAAGGTCTTAACGACTATCGGAAAGTTCGGGGTAAATAACGGTACCAACAATTGGACATGAGAAAATTATAATCCTTTGGAGTAGGCTATTATAGAAAGATTACGGGCCTCCGAAGATAATTACTGAATTTCGTAAACACGACCATCAGCGTATCATCACCATGGGTAAAGGGAATTAAAAATAATTTAATATATTAATCATATAAAAAAATGTTACAATAATAATTCTTTATCCATAAGACAACCAAAGTCGACTCTTGCTAAAATTAGCTGTTCTAGTTGATCCGTAATATTTTGCAGCAGAGCGATAAGAACGGTTGTGGTTTGTGACGTCGTTTACGGGAGCTTTTACGTTTTCTGTCGCGTAGGTTTTCTATTATCTATTTTTAATATATTTTCTTATTCTATTGCAATTTATTTTAATCTCTAACGAAAAAAATGAGTATCGACTAGATACTCTGTATAATAGTAATTAGGGGTGTAAAATATCGAACTTAGTATTGAAGTTCGGTTCGGTTCGTAAATGTCCCTTTGTCCGCTTCTCATCGATCGATGATGTTAGGGTTAATAAATGTTGAAGATGTGGAGTAACAGTGATATTTATTGACAGCAACTAGTGATTACACAATATGGTGTTCGTTCGGTAACTACTCAATATTGACTGTGTTTATTTGAACTTAAATCCCCAATTTATAATCTCACACATAATAGATACATAAACACCTTAGGTCATTGCTTCGTTCATATCATACCACCTAACTTTTGCTTATAATACAATTTAATCTACGCTTTAATTGCGACACTTAGGAAGTTCAATTAGAAAATATTGTTATTCGGCAATTTATTTAGTTGTAGGTAAATGAACTAATTATTAAATTATCATACGATATGGTTTAGCAATATGTATAATGCAAACTTATACACGGTGAAACTATAAAAGATTAAGAAGTTAAGAATAATGTGAGATTACAAATTAAGGGGTTAATTTGTGATTGAACAAGGGGTAATTGGGGACGCGTCCTCAACCCAAAATTCTGTCTTCATTTACCCCTTGTACATATTATTTTGGGGTAATTGTAAACACACAAAATAAACATCTTACAAAGGTTTGCAGTTAAATCAAGTGTTACAAAATTTTTCTACTTAATCCAACAAAGCCAACTCTGATGAGAAACATGCAATACTTTAAATATTTTTAAGGCAACAGTACTTACCGTTACAGCCGACCAAACGGATACACCAAATATTTTATAGGTTAAGTTTCAGTGTCATGTGCGTTAAAATATCAGCTTTTTATTGTGAGTTCATAGATTGCTGGTAGATGCCACTTAACTATAGAAGGGAGATACTAAGACAAATTCAACATAGCGCTTTTATTAACGATTTTATTTTCGATGTCCTCATTTGCCCCTGTTCACATTTAACCTGATTGATCTTACATATTTACATTTTTCTAAAACATATTTCTATTAACTTTTTCTATTTTGTTTTAGGACATCAAATACATGGCTAAAAAGTTACCAAATCTGATTGAAATTTATAAAGTTGCAGATGATAGGTTCAACCATTTAGATTTTCTCTGGTCTAAAAACATAACACAGTTGTTACATGATAAAGTGTTAAAAATTTTATATAATTATAGAAGTTAACATAAAACGAGTTTTAATTTAGAAATAACACATCGATGGCTTACTTGTAAATCCTTGTAAGTCTAATTTTTACAAATTTTGTCTTTTATGCTGAAATAGAATCTACTACCTATGTAAATGCATTGAGCAAAGCTTTGTAAGCCTTTGTCAACACTATTGACATCTATGCGCAATTGAAAATAGTAGTAAATCTAGTGTGTTTCAATGAGGGCAGTAAGATCTTGTAAGTCTGGCAAAAAATTTAGGTTATGTTTTACTTTGATTTTGTGTATTGCTTTAACTACTGTTGGTGCAAGTGCAAATAAAGCAAGGCAACTTTAAAAATGAAGAAGCAAAATAATACTGTGGTAAGTAGACTCTGTATTTGCAATGTAATAATGTCTATTTAAAAAATATTTGCCTTTAAAATGTGATTAGACTTCATATTTTCAACAGGTTCATATTTCCAACAGATAATAATCTGCGGTGTAGTAAATTCTTGATTTTATAAGCATATATCGTCGGTCTAATTAGTAAAACTTATAACTCCATTTATTGCTACTTTAGGGAAATCGAGAAAAACTGTTTTTTTTTTATTTTTTTCAGATTTTGAAATAAAACAAACTGCTATTTTGGATATTATTTTGCTAGTTTCTTTCGTCAAGTTAAATACATTTTGTAATTTCCTCTTTTATTTAATTATTTTTTAATTTTATTGGAGTTACGCGATTTTCTGTTTAGTTTATGAGGAGTTGCGAGTTTTTTTGCAAGGATAAGAATAAAAAAGGATGATAAATGACCATTGTTATTATAATGCATTTACTTATATTTTACAATATAACAATCAACGTAATTGTATTATAAAATAATAAACCATAAAACATAATTATATATTTGTGTATTCATGTAATGTAAAGTATGTTATCATAAAACTGATGGAAGTCACTCGGTAAGGTTCCCTTTAGATCCTTTAGGTTCTTGAATTTCGATGATTTTGTACTAAGACGGGATGTAACGTTATATGGATTTTGTTTTCTTGCCTCTTTGCAAATCTGGACGTAGTTTGCCGGAACATTGATATCTCTCTTACGAACTATTCTTTCAATACAGGAATGCATCGAATCGGTTTCCATCTGTGTGTGACCCTCAGTCAAATATTTTTGATATATCTTTAACCCTTTAAACAGGAGGGTTAAATTTGCAAAGGTATTCGCTAAAGTGGTATTTCTATTTTGGTAGCTACACCCGTCACTATAAAATACCACTTTCCTTACGCCTAACTCACCCAGTGTAGTTACACATTTTCCCAAAATAGTGGAGAACTCTTCTGCAGTTAGCATACCTTCAGTTTCATTCCACAAATAGCAGTATCCTTCCTTGCTTTGCAAACTGAACAAAGTAAAATTGTGTCAGACCAATTTTGTCTTATAGTACATGGTAGAAACATTCGACTTCGGAGACAATAAAATACTTTGTAGATCCATTGTGAATACGGCTTGATTAAGCGTAATATCAGTTTTATCTTTGTCTTTTTCCTCCCGTGCCCTGTAAACTTTTTTCTGTGTTCACAAATCACATAATAAATCTGTTTTTACTGCAGTTTTTCAAGGAAGAAATTTATTATTGGTTTATTATTATCAATTAATTGTATTTAGTATTAAAAAAATAAGGCTTACCTGTATTCAATAGGAGTTGCAGGGAGATCGTTTTCTTTTGACTTTATTGACAGCTGTACCATAAGTCTGCCTCTACTATTACCACTAGTAGACATTTTAAATTGGTTATTGTTACTTTACAATAAAAGAAAATTCTTTTTCAAACGATACACATCTGCACACTAACATAAAATAATGTAAACAAGAACTTTGTGAGATTAGATTTTAATAGATTAGGTTAGGAGTTACGAGTATTTCGTGCCCCGTTTGCTGACAACAGTGTTCGTCAAGGAGTTACGAATTTTACACATTAAAGAACTTTGGTTCAACTAAAGAAACTAAAAATATACTAACAAATGAATGCCTATGAGTTAATAATGGTGCAATGTTTAATTTAAAATAATATTTTTCTTTAAACGTCAAATAATGATGACATTACTTATCTAACTTGATCCTGTCAAAGTTTGATGTCTCCGCCGGCAGCAGTTTTTTTTCCCATTTCTTTACGGCGGAGGGAAAAATGTTGTCATGGCAACAATATGAAACATGTCACAAAGCAACAATACAAATGTCATTAACAACAATTAAACATCATTTTTATTTATAGTAATATTAAAAGTACAATTAGTTAATGAGGCATTTTCAAAATTGAAACCGTGCAAAAATGTTCCCGACTCTTGATACGCATTGGTAATTGTTGATGATACTGATGGTCGAGAACAACTTTCAGCAATCATTCCCGATGTTGGCGAATCATGAGGGTTTAAAATTTTTTGAGCATTATCGTTCTTATTTCTTATTGAATCCTCTATATATCCTTCGGCAACCGTGCTTGATTTCCAGCCCCCATGTCGTTTGAGGCATTCTAGATTTCCGCCTCCATCAATTAAAAGTGTTGCTGAAGTTCGTCGTAAAGAGTGACCCGTGTATGCGCTTGCATCGTTTAAATTTAAATAACTAGCTACTTTTTGGGCTACTGCGCTGATCGAATGTATTCCCATGACGCTTCGGTAACACTTTCCATTTTGGTACTTGATAAAAAATCGGTTTTCTGTGAAATTTTCAGGCCGCAGTGATGCATACTTTTTATACAGTTTAATGTAGTTTTGACCAATTATCGTAAAAGATCTAATTTGTCGTGTTTTACTGTCTGGGATTTTGATAATTATTACATTTTCTTTATCCTCAATGTCCACAGTCTTCATTTTTACCATTTCGTCGCATCGACAGGCGCCGGTAACCCCAATTAACAAAACAATCTGAAATATTTTTATAATTTAGTAGAGTATACTACATGCTTTGCAATATAATTTTTTTTACCTTTAATCCTAAATACAACTTATCTGGCGCTTCAAACAAAAATTTATCAAACTCGTCTTTAGTGAAAACTTTAGACTTCTTTGCAGTATATCCTTCGCTTGTTTTTTTCAGAAAGGCACGTAACTTTAAAAATTTGCTTATATCCACATTTTTTCTAATAACTAACTCGGATTTTATCATAGAGTATCGTGACCACATTGTAGAAGATTTCCATTTATTTTCATTTTCCATTATATTAAAATATGCCAGTAAAACGTCTTCGGTAACTTGCCGTACTCCTCTTGTATCGCACCACTCTTGGAAGTGCTTGTACGCTAACCGATACTTTATTCCGGACTTGGAGGGCCCCAAACGTGCTACTGCATCATTAGCCGCGGACTCAATTTCGTTTAGGTTTTCCATTTTCGCACTAAATTTGCGCTTGCGGTTGCAACAACAATAAGCTGTCTTTAATAATTGCAAACAACTGTCAAACAACTGTAACCAGGGAGACGCAAATCCCACCGACGACTTAATTATTTTAATTTCTAACATCTAGACGACTTTGATAGTTGTCACAGTTAATTTCGAGTAAAAATAGCGTATGAATTGTACTATTTATGGTTGAAAATTGCTACGTTTGAAGAAAAAATAGTATACTTTATTCGGCAAAGAAGAGACTTTGCTTGACTTGCCCTCTATTACACGCCTCACTTCGTTCGGCGCGTAATATCGGGCGCGTCAAGAAAAGTCATGCTTCTCCGCCTCATAAAGTAATATACTATAAAACTATGATTTATAATTACATTTTAAACAGGTAGACGATAATATTTTACTCAAAGCTGCAGAGGATAATGTAACAGCGTTCCATGAGCAGTAGTATTTTGGTGTTCCAACTGAGCAGGTACAATCGACTTTAGTTGTTTGTCATGGTCCCCTGTTGATAGTTAAAAATGTTACAGAGGAAGCCGTAGTCGATGAGATACCGGAGGAATCTATTTCAATTCCTGGTGAAGGTCCAGTATTGAGAGGTAACAATTTCATACCAGAAGCCTTGCCCGATGAAACTTTGGAAATCGCTTCCGATAAGAATTCGGAAGACTTATCCTCGGACACAACTGTTCAGACACAATATCAGAAAGAAATTCTGCAAGATATTTTAGATTATTATATCGAAACTAAATCTCTTTGTGGCAAACGGAGTAAAAAACCCAATATTTCTAAATGGAATACAGCCAGAACGAAGAAAATCCCAGAAGAATGACGATAAAGTTTTGATCCTGAAGGTCGTCTTTGAAACTGTGCCAAAAGTAAAAAGCCACTATTGTAAGAATGATACTACAAAGCTTTATCTGGAACCAGTTTTCACACCAAGATGGAAGTTTGTGAACTATACAAGGAAAAATGCAAAGAATTGGGAGAAAGGCTTTGTTGGTATTAAAAGATTTCACGAAGAATTTGAAGCTCGCAATTTGTAAATCTACATTCTTTGAAAAGACCAGTGCAATTTATGCACGAGTTACAAAAGAGGAGAATTTACCCTTAAAAGCATACGAAAATCACTTATTAAAAAAGGAATTGGAAAGAAATGAAAAAACTTATGACAACCAGAGTACAGATCATGTACTTACAGTAGACAAGCAAGTTATTTTATTAGCACCATCCTTAACAGCTTCTGTTTTATATTATAAATCGAACCTACATGTACACAACTATACAGTATATACAAGACAAAATATGAAGTGTGCTATTTTTGGCATGAGGGAGAAAGAGGAGTCACTTTCAATGAAGTGACAAAATTATTTGAAACCGCTTCCTAATGAAACAGTAATAACTTGGAGTTACGGTTGTTGCTACCAAAACCGCAATTCAAATTTTACCGTTGTTTACTCCTATGTGCAAAGAAAAATATAACTATTTTACAAAAATACTTGGAACATGGGCATACACAAATGGAGTGTGACTCCATCCATGCTCAAATAAAAAAAAAGAGTCAAAAATCTTGAAATTAGACAGTGACGATAAAATATAGACGAAATAGACAACATACCTACAGCAACAATGATTACATCAGTAAAAGAAATAGCAAAGAAGGATCTAAAAAAGAACAACTATATATCAACAGAAACAAAGAAGCTTATGGAGAAAAGAAGGAAGCTGAACGAAGAAGATAAAAGGAAATCTATAGAATATGTAGAAATTAATAAAACAATAAGCAGAATGATAAAAGAAAATAAGAGAAAAGAAAAAGAAATAAAAATAGAAGAATAATACAAAACAACAAAAATATGAAATGCTTAAGGCCGAAATTAGGTAAGTTTGAAATAAACAAAATAAAAGATGTAAATGGAATAGAAACAAACGTTAAAGATGACATCATAAATTAAATCCACCATTTTTACTCAGAATTATATAAAACCAGAATCGCCTGGAAAAGATGGAATAACTGCAAAGATGCTGAAATATGGTGAAAAAGTGGTAATTAATACTCTACATTCCCTTTTTAACAAGATATTAAAAGAAAAAAAAAACCCAAACAACTGGAAGGAATCCGTAACCATTATCCTACACAAGAAAGGGGATAAAGCAGATATAAAAAACTACCGTCCTATAACACTCCTCAATGTAATGTATAAACTAACAAAAATTTTAACCAATAGATTGACGACAAAATTCGATGGATACCAGTCCGCCAAGGGTGTATTTTATCACCCTCGTTATTCAATTTATACACTGAAGCCATCTCAGAATTAGCGCTTGCCGAGATCAGTGAGGGCCTTATAATAAACGGTGAGCCACTTAATAACATAAGATATGCTGACGACACCGTCCTTTTGGCAGGAACACTAGAAGAACTGCAACACCTTGCTGAACAACTAAATATATATTGCAACGAGGACTAAAAATCAATTTGAAGAAAACCAAGTTCATGGTTTTTACAAAAGCACAAAACATCAAAGTTAAGCTAGTACTAGATAATGCAGAAATTGAACAAATATCTTCGTACAAATACCTTGGAGCATGGATCACAGAAGATACTGATCAGACAAAAGAAATAAGATGCCGCATTGAAATTGCGCGGTCAACTTTTAATAGAATGAGAAAACTTTTTTGTAATCGCGATATCAATATATCGCTCCGGATAAGAATGCTTCGATGTTATATTTTCTCTACCCTTTTGTATGGAGTTGAAGCTTGGACACTTAAAAAATCCAACATTAAAAACCTAGAAGCATTCGAAATGTGGTGTTACCGACGCATTTTGAAAATATCATGGATGGATCGCAAAACAAACGAACAAGTTCTCGAACAACTAGGAAAACAATGCGAAGTTTTAAATTCCATAAAGATCAGGAAATTGGAATACTTGGGGCACATCATGAGAGGTGAAAAGTACGAACTACTAAGGAATATAATGCAGGGTAAAATCAAAGGTAGAAGAAGCGTAGGAAGACGTAAAATCTCGTGGCTACGCAATCTCCGTGAGTGGTTTGGATGCAGTTCAATTGAACTATTCAGGCGAGTAACCAATAAAATTATAATTGCCAGAATGATTTCCAATCTCTGATAGGAGTGGAACTTGAAGAAGAAGAACCAGTCGAAAGAACAAGCTGGTTTTAGAAAGGGATTCAGCACAAGTGACCATTTACTAAGTATGAAAATACTTATAGAACGAGCAGATGAATACCACATTCCTCTATATATGGCGTTCATAGATTTTGAAAAGGCTTTCGACAGTGTCGAACATTGAGCAGTGAAAAGTTCTTTGATTAACAGCCAAATTGACCACAGATATACGGAACTAATAACCAATATAAGGAAGCCAAAACAACAATTAAAGTATATGAAGGAACAAAATCATTACAAATAAGTAGAGGCGTGAGACAGGGTGATACAATATCACCGAAACTTTTCAATCAGGCTCTTGAAGATACTTTTAAAAGATTAGAATGGAAAAAAAAGGTATAAAAATTTGTGGACAACGCTTGAACCATCTAAGGTACGCTGATGACATCGTATTGATAACCGATAAAAAAGAAGAATTATTTGAAATGATGAAAGAACTGGACGTAGAAGCTGGAAAGATAGGCCTTAATATGAATTACAGCAAGACCAAAACTATAACAAATACAGATGAAGACATCACAATGAGAATCGGACAAGATGAAATAGAACAAGTTAAGGATTATATATATATATATATATATATATATATATATATATATATATATATATTATATATATATATATATATATATATATATATATATATACATCTTGGTCAAACTATAAAACTTAACAAAGAGAACCAAACAGCAGAGATCAAGAGACGAGTTAGACTGGCATGGGCGGCATTTGGCAAACTAAGCTACATTCTTAAAAACAAAAGATATCCACAGCATCTTAAGACCAAAGTATATAATCAATGCGTACTCCCTGTTCTTACTTATGGTTCCCAAACGTGGACATCTACAAAAGCAAACATGGACAAAATCATAAAAACCCAAAGAGCAATGGAAAGACAAATGTTGCACATAAGACTAATGGATAAGAAGAGAAACGAGTGGATAAGAGAGAAAACAAAAGTGAGGGATGTTAGACAAGAAGTTGCAAAATTGAAATGGAGATTTGCCGGACACAATATAAGACAAAAAGAAGACCGATGGAACAAAATTCTTATAAGTTGGAGACCGTGGGAATATAAACGAAGCAGAGGAAGGCCCCAAATGAGATGGGCAGATGATATCAAGAAGCACGTGGGCTCTAGATGGATGACTGTAGCGACAGACAGAGAAGAATGGAAAAGGATTGGGGAGGCCTATGTCCAAAGATGGACCGAAGAAGGCTAATTAGATAGAGATGGATTAAAAAAATTTTTAACAACAAGCCTAGTTACAAAAAGAACGAAACCAGTGATATACAGAACTCTTATCAAGCCCATCCTCACAGCTACGTCGGAAACATGGACGATGACAAAAAGCGATGAAGAACGGTTAGGATGCTTTGAGCGTAAAATCCTCCGGCATATCTATGGAGAAGTACAGGAGGGCGGATTATGGCGCAGACGCTATAATTTCAAACTTTACCGCCTGTATGACAAACCTGATATTATTAGGTCCATCAAAATAAACCGGCTGCGGTGGTTAGATCACATAGAGAGAATAAATGAGATGGAGCCGCCAAAACATATTTATAATCAAAGAATAGATGAAGTGAGAAGGAGAGGTAGACCCAGAGTACGATTTAAGGATCAGGTGGAGGAAGATTTTAGAATGTTGAGAGTATGAAACTGGACAGTCAAGGCGAAGAATAGGAGAGAATGGAGACTTATCCTTGAGCAGACCAAGACCCACCATGGGTTGTGGGGCCAATGATAATGATAAAACTAGAATATCTCGGACATCTTATTAAAGAACCAAGTACTTAATGAGTTACTTCGGCTAATTTTTAAAGGTAATGTTGATCGAAAAAAAAACGGATAGGGTGGAAGAAACTCCCTCAGTTAAGAAGTGTGTGAGAGTGAACAGATTTAACAACAGACACGTAACCTAAGGCCAAGATCAATATAAGTTTATGCTAAAATAATATCAATTAATATTTTGCAAATAATATAATTACACGGAAATTCATCTTTAATTATATCCGTAGTCATTAGGTCTATGGTAAACAAATTATACAATTTTTCCCCCTTTTCCCCACGTCAATATACTAATAATATATAAAACATTTATTTATAATGCGATACTTGAATAATAATTTATCATCAAAATAGAAATTTGTATCGCGCACCAGGATATTTACGTAAAAATGCTCCAATTGACTTCATAGTGCGGGGTATGGAATATTTTGTAAACAATAATACGTCAATTGCAACTAATTAAAATAAATATCCAAAATAATGAAGTACCTCTGGGCATTAAAAATATATTTATGTGGGACCTAACTAATTACAATAGCAACTTTTTTATTGAAACAATGCTATATATTATATAAAATCGGTTTAAAACGTCCTCCGACGTCTTCCGATGCCCAATCTCCATGCATCTCTATCTTCCCAAAGATCTTCGTCTAAACCTCTCTCTCGGATCTCTCTGTCTATTCCTTCTCTCCAGCTCTTTCTGGGTCGGCCTCTTTTTCTCTTTCCATGTGGTGACCAATCTATAATCTGTTTGGGCAGACGATGTTCTGGCATTCTCTGCACATGTCCATACCACTTTAGTTGTTGTACTCTTATATCTTCGACAATCGTATGTGTGACTCCCA